AAAAAAAAAAAAAAAAAACAGTAATCTGTCCAATCATGTAGAATTGGTAGGTGGAATGGGGGGATCTCATCTGTGGTCAAATCTCCGTTTATTCCATTTCTTCAGAAGCGCTCACCTTGATAGAAAAGAAAACAATGCATTATTTTGTCATACTAACTGACTTCACATTTCAGATTTCAAAAGCATCAAAAATAAAGAGCCTGTATGTGTATTTTTTTTTTTCCTACAGGTTGGAGTCACTGTAGGGGTTTTTCATTTTCTTATTGACCTGCTTCATCTACTATATGTTTTCCATTTCTGTTTTGCAGAATCCGCTCACGTCGGAGACGGTGAAACGGCTCGTAGCGGAAGGTAATAAAGAAGAGTTACAGAAATGTTTCGGGGCCCGCATGGAGTTCGGGACAGCCGGCCTCCGCGCTGCCATGGGGGCAGGAATTTCTCACATGAACGACTTGACCATCATCCAGACCACCCAGGTACCTCCGTTCTATAATTCTCCATTACTCTAATGTATCCGCTGGCTCCTTTTGTACTTGATAGTCCTGATTTGTTTTAATTATGATCTCGTCTTTGGGATTGGCTAGACATGGGGAATTATCCGCATTTATTCCCTAAGGCAGTTAGGTGAAGAAGTACCTGGATCAAACCTGAATCAAAATTCTCACAACCATTCATTCACTCATTTAACAGATTTGCTCTGTTCCTGTTATGATCAGACAGGGGAGATATAATGGCTAAAACTGACAGATTCCGTCATGAACCTTTTTTTTTTTTCTTTTCAAACTTCAGTCTTTTTTTTTTTTTTTTTTGAGGGCTTTTTTTTTTACTACAGGGCATATGCACTTGCTAGAGAGACAGAGGGAGACAGAGAGATGGAAAGGGAGAAATCACCCCCTGCAGGGAGGATGACCATGATACAATCCTTTCTCCTCCATTCTCCTCTCGGAATTTTGGGCACGCACATACATACACACACTCGGCGTGAGTTTGAAGCCACCGGGTCTGGGACTTGAACCATGGTCAACTGTGTGCAAGTCCAGAGACGTAACCGTTACGCCATCTCATGGTCCTGAGTTGTTCTGTTTGTTTGTTTGTTTTTTCATGAGCAAGGGATGGGGCAGGGGAGACAGGCATCCTCCAACAGGGCCTTGCCACACTGAAATTCGAATTCCAGCCTGTGTTTTAGGTTGATGTGAAGTTACTGCTGGTCCCCATATAAATATTGTAATCCATGGGTGTTTGCAGGGGTTTTGCAGATACCTGGAAGAGCAGTTCAGTGACCTGAAGCAGAGGGGCGTCGTGATCAGCTATGACGCACGCGCACATCCCACCAGTGGAGGCAGCAGCAAAAGGTACTCGCACATTTCAGGAAACGACTGCTTATGTTGTTCATTCCTCAGTCACTTTCGCCCACTGTTTTCAATAGACGGACTTTAAATACACTCCTTAGCTCCATTGCTCAACTCAAGAAAAGATGGCTACATTCTGTTTGCAACTTTAAAAGATTCTGGTTTTACATTTAAATGAAGAAAGACAACTATGTAGGCCATTTCAAATGTGATAGCTACTCAGTGGAAGCCCTTTTAAAAAGAACTGTTTCATTTGATGTATCACTATTAATTGCGATTTTATATTTGCTATAGGGTGTGTGTGCACTCACCAGGGACAGAGTGAGAGAGGGAAAGTGAGAAAGCAAGCCACCAGGTCCAGACTCACGCTACACTGCGGGCAGCCATGTGGGAGTCCAGCCCCTCAGCCGCCACACGATCCGTTGGCTCCTAAAAGCAGTTTTTTCAAGTATCGCTATTTCTCCCTTTTACTTCCTTTTGTGTCATCTTTTTCTTTCACTATTCAGAAGCCTCATTACCCACTTCCCATTCTTTTGGATGCAAAGGAGTTAGCTCATTCCCCTCAGCCTCCTTCTCCTTTCCTCTTTATTTATGAAAGAGTATTTAGGGACCAGCAGATGATGTAATGGCTATGTTGCTGCACTCCCATGTAGTCGACCGCAGCTTGAGTCCTGGACCCAGTGGCTTAAACTCACGCTAGGCGTGTGTGCATGCGTGCCCAAGATCCCGAGAGGAGAATGGAGGAGAAGGGATTGTAGCGTGGCCTACTCCCACCCCAAGGGTGATTTCTCACTTTCTGTTTCTCTGTGGCTGTCTGTCTCAGGAGCGCATGCTCCCTATAACAAAAACCTCTCAAAAAAAAAAAAAAAGAGTATTTACACATGCGAAGAGAGAGAGAGGGAGAGAGAAGGAGAGATAAGCACCCCTACAGGGTCTGGTCACGCCATGATCCGCTCCCTCCAGTCCATTGGATCTTAAGTTCTGGCGCTGACACCTGCCTGATGTGTTTCAGGCTGAGCCGGGGATTCATACCACGGTCACCATGGGGGAGGCGGCTTCTCTCAAACGGCACATTATCCCCTGTGCCACAGAGTCAGATCCCCTCCCTATTCTTTTTTCTTTTAATTTTTGCCAGGGGACACATGCACTCCCCAGAGAGAGAGACAGAAACAGAGAGAGAAAGTGAGAGGCTCGTAGGTGGCGAGGTGGTTAAGGCACTGGACTCCCGTATGGCTAACCATGGTTTGAGTTCCAGACCCGGAAGGCTGAAAATCATACCAGGCACATGTACGTGCATGCCTGAAAACTTAGGAGGAGAATGAAGGAGAAGGGACTGTGGCGTGGCCTTCCGCCCCAGGGGTGATTTCTCATGTTGCCTCTCACCATCTCTTTCTCTCCACCGAGCACATGTGACCTATGGCAAAAACCTTAAAAAAAATAAAAGTGAGCTAGCCCCCCACCATGGGGGAGAGCCATGCCACAACCCCTTCTTGAGTATTCCTTTTGAGATTTGTGGACCTTGCGTACAGACCCAAAGGCCTGACAGCACCTCTCTTGTTCTCGTCCCTGTCACTCTGCATTCCCAGGTTTGCCCGACTCGCTGCAACTGCGCTGATCACTCAGGGGATTCCCGTGTATCTCTTTTCTGGTATAACCCCAACCCCCTTCGTGGTAAGTAATCATTTCCTTTTTTCTTTTATAAATTATTTATTTAATTTTATTTATTCGTGTATTTTAATTTAACCAGAGAGAGAGAGAGAGAGAGAGAGAGAGAGAGTGAGAAAGCAAGCCGCCAGGTCCAGGATGTGAACCGTGGTCAGCTATGTGGTAGAGTCCAGTGCCTTAACTACTACGCCACCTGCTGGTCCCTCCTTTTTTCTTTTTTTAAAGAATTACTTTATTTAACTTTATTTTTTATTTATTTATTTTAATTTGACCAGAGAGAGACAGAGTGAGAGAGAGAGAGGGAAAGTGAGAAAGTTAAGTCACCAGGTCTGTGACTCGAACCACTGACAACCATGTGTGAGTCCAGCACCCTTAACCACCATGACATCTGCTGGCCCCAGTCATTTCCTTTTCTAATTTCCTGTCATGAGATCAGGGATGGGACGCGGCTGAATTTTACATTCTTTGGTGCTGTTGGGATTCTGGGTTTTCAGTAACTAAAGGCACTCATTGGTGTTTTATGGAGCATTCTCCCTTTCCTCCTATAATATCTATAATATCTTAAAATATTCCTCCGGCATTCAACTTTGTTTTTGTTTTTTTTTAAGAGAGGTTTTTACTATAGGGCACGTGCACTCACCTAAGAGACAGAGAGAGACAAGAGAGATGGAAAGCGAGAAATCACACACACAAACACCCTCAGGGGGAATGGCCATGCCACAGCTCCTTCTCTTCCAGCCTCCTCTCAGGATTTTGGACATGCATGTACATACGCCTGGCATGAGTTTGAAGCTGCCGGGTCCAGGACTCAAACCGTAGTCAACTACGTGGGAGTCCAGTGCCATATGCGAGTCCCTTTTTTAAGGTTTTTGTCATAGGTCATATACACTCACCAGAGAGAGACAAAGAGAGTGTCTCATAATCATTTTCCTACTGAAGTGCTTCTCCCCTTTTCTTTGCCCTGGGATGCCTGAGGGATGTGACTTCCAAGGGGACAGATGACTGCAGTGATTCTTGGTGGAGAGAAGAGCAGATGGTTCAAATCCCAGGTTGCCCGTGTGCAGTAAATCTCACTTGTAGCCGCAGGGGGAGTCCTTCAGCCCTCTCCCCATTTTGGGAAGTAGCCTTGCAGAGAGAGGCACTGAGTTAGAGCACAAGGGAAGAGTCTTTGACCCTGGCATGAGAGGTCAATGAGCCACCTTGTTGAAAGTACTTGGTTTGCTCAACTTTTCCCCCTACCTTTTCTTTAAAACGAAATGAGGAAAAGGAGGAGAAGGGGAAGCGGTTGAAAAAGTAAACTGAGTTCACAAGCTTCTGTCCTGGCAGAAGCCCTAAAAGAATGTGACGCAGAGGGGCCGATAGGTGGTGTGGTAATTAAGGTGCTGGACTCCCACACGGCCAACCCTGGTTTAAGTCCCAGATCCGGCAGTTTGAACATCATGCTGACTGTGTGTGCGTGCATGCCCTAAATCCTGAGAGGAGAAGGGGGAAGGGATTGCAGCATAGCCATCCCCTCCTGGAGGGTGATTTCTCATTTTCTCTCTCTGTATCTCTCTGTCTCTCTCATCTCTGGCGAGCCTGTATGTTGTCGAATGGAGGTTCAGACCTCCTTTCTGTTTGAAGAGTTTTCTAGCTCTACCAAAGACAGGGTGGAAGGAGAAGGCCCTAGGGAAATGCCTCCCCTTCCGTAGCAGCCGGTCAGTTCAGGGTAATGGAGGGTAGATTGCTTGGGTGTGCACAGAGATGTCGGATGGCTCGTTTTGGTATTTATGCATTTTGTTTCTTTTTCTTTTTTTCGCTATAGGGCCCATGCACTCGCCAGAAAGACAGAGACAGACAGACCGACAGACAGCAAGAAATCAACCCCCCAGGGAGATGGCCACCCTGCAATCCCTTCTCCTCCATTCTCCTCTCAGGATCTTGGGCACGCACGCACACACACCCGGCATGAGTTTAAGCCACTGGGTCTGGGACTTGAACCGTGGTCGACTACATGGGAATCCAGCGACGTAGACATGATGCCATCTGCTGGTCCCTTTCATTTTGTTTCTTAAAAAGGAACAAGCTGATATAGGCCATATACCACAGACCTGCTATGTTTACCTAAGTGTTGGTAAAAACTGATGGTGTCCTGCCCACCACAGCCCTACACCGTGTTGCGTATGAAGCTCTGTGCTGGGATCATGATAACCGCCTCCCACAATCCGAAGCAGGATAACGGCTACAAGGTGCGTTTTGGCTTTTCTTTTCTTTTTTTCTCACTTTTTTTTTTTTAGAGGTTTTCGCTATAGGGCACGTGCGCTTGCCAGACAGACAGAGACACAGAAACAGAAAGCAAGAAATCACCCCCCAGAGGAGATGGTCACGCCGCAATCCCTTCTCCTCCATTCTCCTCTCGGGATCTTGGGCACGCACGCACACACACCCGGCATGAGTTTTAAGCCCCGGGGTCCGGGACGCGAACTGCAGTCAACTACGTGGGATGCCAGCGACATAGCCATTACGCTAACTGCTGGTTCCCCGTTTTGGCTTTTCTCGACATGTGCGTCCTCCTGTGGGACTCCTGTACCTTTACCGCTAGGGGGCAGAGGTGATGGCGCTGCCTTTACCTGACCCCCAACCCTTCTGCGGGTGTTCTGGGTCTCCAGGTCTACTGGGAGAACGGGGCTCAGATCATCTCTCCTCACGATAAAGGGATTTCTCGAGCTATTGAGGAGAACCTGGAGCCATGGCCTCAAGCGTGGGATGACTCCCTCATTGACGGCAGTCCTCTTCTCCATGACCCGAGTGCCTCCGTCAGCAACGACTACTTCAACGACCTGAGGAAGTACTGCTTTCATAGGTAAGTAGTGAATGCCATCCAGCCACATTCCAGCCATTTTCATGAACTCCTTCTGCTTAACTGACGTGGATTCTATATATAAATCTGATTTTAGAGGCTATCGATTAAAGAGACGTTAGCACACTTTTTTTTTTCTTTAAGGTTTTTGTTGTAGGATGTGTGCACTTGCCAGAGAGACAGAGAAACAGTGAGAGGGAAAGTGAGAAATCACCCCCAAGAGGGATGGCCACACTGTCATCACTTCTCCTCCACTCTCTTCCTTGGGACTTTGGGCATGCATGCACATATGCCTGATGTAATTTTCAAGAGTCCCACCAGATCTGGGACTCTAACTGTGGTTAGCCATGTAGGAGTCTAGCTTCTTAACCACTATGCCTCCTGCTGGCCCCGACACACTTTCCTTAAAGAGACAGATAATAAATCGTTTTGGCTTTGCAAGCCACACAGACTCTAAACATCTCTGTGCAGATGCAGTGATACAAAAGCAGCCTCAGACCTGTCATGGGGAGTCCACGCTCACTGTATTCTAGAATGCCTTTTTTTGGGGGGGGGAGAGATTTTTACAGTAAGGTGCATGTGCTTGTTGGAGAGACAGAGAGAGAAAGAAAACGAGAAATCACCCCTAGGAGGGGTGGCCATGCTGCAATCCGCTCTCCTTCATTCTCCTCTCGGGATTTTGGGAATGCACACACATACCCAGTGTGATTTTAAGTCACCGAGTCTGAGACTCGAGCCACAGTGGACTACGTGGGAGTCCAGTGACGTAACCATTACACCATCAGCTGGTCCGTCTAGAATGCTTTATTAACAAAGCAGCTGGCTAGCCTAGCACCACAATTTGCCGGCCTGTTATAGACTCATATATGTGTGTAGGGGTGTGTGTGTCTGTACATTAACCAAATATTCCTGGGGGCCAGCAGGTGGCATGGATATGAAGGCACTATATCCCCATGACCAACTGCACAGTTTGAGTCCTGGACCCAGTGACTTGAAAAACACACCAGGTATGTGTGTGTGCATGCCCAAAATCCTGAAAGGGCGATGGAGGAGAAGGGATTGCGCAGTGGCCATCCCTCCTGTCGGCGACACTTTCTCATCTTCCCTCTCTCCCTGTGTCTACCTATCTCCGGAAAGCACACACACCTTATAGCAAAGTGAGTAAATAAATGAATAATCTCAGAGGATTTGAAGTATGGAGAAGAATATGCGTAGACGCTATGCATGTACTCCACTATTTTGTAAAGGTTGTATACATTGATTCCGATGTCCATGGGCGTCCTGGAACCAATCCCTCACAGACACGGAGGGATAACTGTATACACACACACGTACATATTTGAGAACAAGTGGGTAAGTTTAAGTGTTTTTATTTTTTTAAGATTTATTTTATTTTATTTTATTTCTTCTTCTTCACTTTGACCAGAGCAAAACAGAGAGAGAGTTAGAGAAAGCAAGCTGCCAGGTCCGAGACTCGAACCACAGTAAGTCATGTGGGAGTCCAGCACCTTCACCACCATGGCACCTTTTGTTTCTTTTATAAATGGAATTAGAAAGATGTTAGGTTGTCATATACATTCTCATTACATTGATTTCTTACATTCTTTTTTTTTTTAGAGGTTTTTCCTTAGGGCGCATGCACTCTCCAGAGAAAGAGAGAGAGAGACAGATAGAGACAATGAGAGGCCATGCCGCAATCCCTTCTCCATTCTCCTGGGATCTTGGGCATGCACACACACGTGCCCAGTGCGATTTTCAAGCACCAGGTCCAGTACTTGAACTGCGGTCGGCCGTGTGTTAGTCCAGCAACGTAACCGCTGTGCCATCTGCTGGCTCCTGTTCTTTTGCAAGCCTGTCTTATTTCGTGCTCCCCATGGTGTGTCTGATTGCAGGAGCGTGAACAGGGAGACCACAGTGAAGTTCGTGCACACCTCTGTCCACGGGGTGGGCCATCACTTTGTGCAGTCGGCTTTCAAGGCTTTCGACCTTGTTCCTCCTGATGCTGTTCCTGAGCAGAAAGATCCAGATCCTGAGTTTCCAACAGTGAAGTACCCGAACCCCGAAGAGGGTAAAGGTGTCTTGGTAACCTCATTGTTTTCTTACATTATAAAACCCACCTTCAATGTCCTTACTGCCAGGGGCCGGCAGGTGGCATGGTGACTAAGGGTGCTGGACGCCCTCGTGGCCAAACGCGGTTCAAGTCCTGGACCTGGTGGCTTGCTTTCTGACTTTCCATATCTCTTACTCTTTCTCATTCTGTACCTCTCTGGTCAAATTAAAATAAATTAATTCATTAAAAAAAATCCTTACTGCCAGACAACATATTTTTTGTGCTTTCATTGTGCTGAAGAAAACATCATTTCATCACTGGAAATATACGTATTAGTCTTTCCTTTTTTCTTACTTATTATTTTTTGTGCTTTCATTGTGCTGAAGAAAAAATCATTTCATCACTGGAAATATATGTATTAGTCTTTCATTTTTTCTTATTATTTTATTTCTAGATTTTTGCCATAGGATGCATGCACTTGCCAAAGAGAGACAGAGAGTGAAAGGGAGAAATTACCCTCCAGGAGGATGGCCATGCCAAAATCCCTTTTTCATCCATCCCTTTGGGATCTTTGGGCGCACACACACACACACACACACAAGTGCCCAGCATGATTTTCAAGACTTAAACTGTGGTCAGCCATATAGAAATCCAGGTACCTTAGCCACCATGCCAACTGCTAGCCTCAGTCTTTCCTTTCTTTTCTTTTTTTCTTTCCTTCCCTTCCTTCCCCTCCCCTTCCCTCCCCTTCCCCCTTCCTTCTTCCCTTCCTTCCTTCCTTTCTGCCATAGGGTGCACACACTCACCAGAGAGAGAGCGAGAAGTTGTGAGGGAAAGTGAGAAGTCACTCCCCAGGTAATGGCCATGCCACAATTTCTCCTCTGTTTCCTTCCTGCGATTTTGGCGATGCACGCACATGCGCCTGACATGAGTTTCGAGCCATCAGGTTTGAACCACAGTCGGCCAAGTGGGAGTCCAGTGTCTTAACCACTGTGCCACCTGCTGGTCCTAGTCTTTCATTTCTTACAGGAACTTTCAATTTGACATATCATCGTCAGGATGTGAGGGCTGAGATCTATATGGTGTTTTACATTAAAGTTGATTACATTTAATTTACTGTGCTTCCTTAATGCCAAAAAGAAACTAAATGGAGGTCTATTACATTATAATTTCTATTACTTAATCATCATTTTCCTGAAATGAAGAACGTGTTGTTTAAATCATGGTTCTAAAACATTTTTAGAGTTGATTTTTTAAAAATAATTATTTATTTAATTATTTTTCACATGAGTTTTGCCAGAGAAAGAGAGAGAGAAGGAGAGTGAGAAAGCAAGCCACCAGGTCCAGAACTCAAACCACAGTCGAGCATGTGGGAATTCCAGCGCCTTAACCACCACGCCACCTGCTGGCCCCCAGAGTTGGTTGATTTGAGTTGGTGTGTGAGGTTGATGTCAGGCAGGGCCTAGAAATAGCAGCTAAGCCACACACCTACTGGTCCACTGGGGGGTCACGTGAGGCCAGCCTCGGCCAGCTCCAGAAGTAAAATCCAGTCTTAGTTTGGGGCAAGTCCTCTTTTAGTTCATGATAAGTGGACTGTTTTAAAGACTGCAGTTTGCTCAGCTTGTGGTTTAAGTAATCGTTTCTTTTCATTCTCTTTTTCAGACTTTATCTTTTGCCCTGGCTGACAAGACCAAGGCCAAAATTGTTTTAGCCAATGACCCAGATGCCGATAGACTTGCTGTGGCTGAAAAACAAGACAGGTAAAGTGAGTTTTGACTGCCTATACAACGAAATAATATAAAGGACAGCATCTTCGCCCTAAAATGTTCCCAGGGAAACTGGGTTTATTTAGAAACATTTCGCATTTATTTTGCAAACGACTATCTCACTGACCCTTTGGGGGGACCTCTCTAACATAGGAAGATGCTGATCTGTGGGTAGCAGAGGGGGTGGTTGACATGATTGGCAGATAGAATGCAGAGTAAATCAATCCACGATGAATTTGGAATTGAAATTGCTGTTTGCGATCCTCCTTCCCTCTTTTAATACTCGATTTTCTTACAATGGTTCAGTACCTAAAGAAGGTACCTAGCAATACTCTGCTTGGTGCTCCCTGCAGTTCAGTATTTGCTGAAGGCTCTGGTAAGGAGCTGTTCCGTTGAGGTCGGACAGGAAATTTTGAAATTGGATGGACACACCAAGAGGAACACCTCTGGGTTTCAGCACAGCTTTTGTAAAGACAGATTTATAAAAAAGTGAAGTTTCAAAGGGGAAAGCTCAAGGGCAGGGAGAGTCCAATGTTGAGTATGAAATGGCGTGTGATGGTTTAAGGATAGTCTGCTGAAGGCAAGGGATTCAGGTAAAGATGAAGTCGGTTCAATTCTCGCTCAGTGTTTAGAAAGTTAAACTAAGGTGAGATACGATGATACGCGAGATTTGTTTGTAGCCACCTGGACTACAGAGAGGAGCATACACGTAGTCAGTCCCCTCTGTCCTCTGGGTTCTGACAGTTTTAGGACTGAGCTTTTATCGTAAGGGATACTCAGCCACCACCCTTGCTGAATCTGAAGTACTAACCGTTCCCAAAATCAAGACACATAAAGTTACCTTATGATCAGGGGCGACCTTGCTGACCTATTTCTGCTAATGGTTAAGGTAAAAGCATTGTGTATTGTCCCTGATGTATTTACTTAGGGCAATCTTCAAGGACGGCATGTTTGTCTAGGCCAGCTGACTAAGGTACGACAGCTGCCCAAACGTTCATGAAGTGGCAGTTCCGTTTCTGCCCAGTTGTTTAAAGATGGTGGATAATAAGGCCCGTCTTCCAGAGCCTTCTTTGATCCTCATCTGCCTGTCCCAGGGGCTTCTAGCATCTTCCATAAGATCATGAAGTAAATTTTTTTTGTTTGTTCATTTTTTTCTCTCAGTGGTGAATGGAGAGTGTTTTCAGGCAATGAGTTGGGGGCCCTCTTGGGCTGGTGGCTCTTTACTTCATGGAAAGAGAAGAACCAAGACCGCAGTGCCCTCAAAGACGCCTACATGCTGGCCAGCACGGTGTCTTCCAAAATCTTGCGGGCCATCGCCTTAAAGGAAGGCTTCCATTTTGAGGTGAGGTGGATGTGGGATTTGCTCCTTTTCCTTTCGTTTGGCTCTGTAGGAGATCGAAGGCCTTTATTTCTCTTTTGGATCATCTTTTTAGGAAACATTAACTGGCTTTAAGTGGATGGGAAACAGAGCCAAACAACTAATAGACCAGGGAAAGACGGTCTTGTTTGCATTTGAAGAAGCCATTGGTAAGAAGTGATGAGGTGATGGGGGGGGGGTCATAGAATTTGTTAACTTATAAAATATAAATACTTGAGTAAAAGTTAGTTAATTTATAAAATGTAAATATCTTAGGAAAAAAAAGTTTGGATTTGGGTTTAGATCAACAGTAAAATGGGAACACATGGTCTACTTTGCTTTTGGTATTATTCTTTTTTAAAATTTGCTATAAGGCACATGTGCTCACCAGAGAGAGAAGGATACAGAGAGAGAGAGAGAGAGAGAGAGACAGAGAGAGAGAGGGAAAGTGAGAAAGCAAGCCCGCAGGTCCAGAACTTGAACCATAGTCAGCCATGTGGGAATCCAGTGCCTTAACCACTACACCTCCTGCCGGCCTCCTCACTGCACCTGTTCACAACCCACAGCATGGTTTTTCCCAGCACGACTTGACAAGTCTAAATTCTTAAACATGTGTGGTAAGTGGGAACCACATACACAGTCAGTACTGTGCCACCACCGACATGCAGTAGCCAGGGTGCATGCAGACGTGTGGCGTGACCCAGTGTGGTATACCGACCTGCTCCTAAGGGGGTGTGCCCGGCATGTGTCTCTGCAGGATATATGTGCTGCCCTTTCGTTCTGGACAAAGATGGCGTCAGTGCGGCCGTCATTTGCGCGGAGTTGGCCAGCTTTCTGGCAACCAAGAACCTGTCTTTGTCTCAGCAGCTCAAGGCCATCTATGTTGAGTAAGTGTCTACAGACTGTGATTGAAGCAATACTTTGAAGGGGTTTACTCTTGTGCATGAGATACTAATATTCTCCCTACTCCTTTACTTTGGTGATGAATTCTTATTTTATTTTTTTACTTTTTTTAGAGAGATTTTTGCTATAGGGTGCGTGCTCTCTCCAGAGACACAAAGACAGAGAGATAGAAAGGGAGACATCAGCCCCCCGAGAGGAGAGCCATGCTGTAATCCCTTCTCCTCCATTCTCCTCTCAGGATCTTGGGCACGCACGCACACACTCCCAGCATGAGTTTTAAGCCACTGGGTCCAAGACTCAAACTGCGGTTGACTAAGTGGGGGTCCAATGACGTAACCATTACATCATCTGCTGGTCCCGATGAATTCTACTTCTTAAAAGATCTAAGAGATCATTTTTTTGTTGTTGTATACTTAACCAGTTACTAGAAATTACCATTCACAGTTGCACTAATGGTTAACAAGGTGGCTGACCGAAGAATGTGATTTTAAGTGTTCAGCATCCCAACTGATGGAATGTCATCATAACACATTTACTCAGTCTTTGTAGTGAGTACTAATTCTTCCTACCTACTGTAAAAATAGCCAGAGACCAAAGAGAAAGTAACAGTTGGGGCTGTGCTCCAAGAAAGCTTTAATTTATAAAGAAATGCTGAAATGCAGGTAGTCATTTTACAATCCCGGGGGATAGTTGAGTGGACTTCTTTTTAAATGCCTAATTCTTCCTTTGAACTTGGTGATGGTTGTTTGTTTCAAATGTTTTAGGATGTTTTAGAATCTATGGGTTGGTCCTGTGTATACTTTGGAGAGTTACTGGCTTCTCCTTTACATGAAAGTGTATTTGTCTCGACAGGTATGGCTACCATATTACCAAAGCTTCGTATTTTATCTGCCATGATCAAGGCACCATTAAAAAATTATTTGAAAACCTTAGAAACTATGATGGGAAGAAGAACTATCCAAAAACTTGTGGCAGATTTGAAATTTCTGCCATCAGAGATCTTACAACGGGCTATGACGATAGCCAACCTGATAAAAAAGCTGTAAGTAATGCTCACTTTTATCAACCGATTTCTTTCCTATTTACCTTTTGTAATCTTTTGAATAAATTAACATGTTTCATTATAATGTCCTGAAGCTGATTTTAGACATTATCATAAATAAGTTGTAGGATGGATGGGAAGTTGAAATTATGGGCTAGAACTAGAAGGGGTTCTCACTGCTCACATAAGCCAACACTGTCATTTAACTCAGAAGGAAATTAACACTTGGGCATGTAGCCCCATCTGGGGTCAGAGCTCATTGGTGATGGCTAGTGGAATCGGGGTCTTCTGGTCTACCCTTTCTCCCTGTGAGTGTTCTCATAGGAGCATCTAGTCGCACAGGATAGTTAGAACACTGAGTGCTATAGCCCTCCCTGGAGTTTCTGAGCAAGTAGGTCTGAAGTGGAGGCCAAGAACTTGTATTTCCAACAAGTTTCCAGGAGGTGCTGATGCCCCTGTCCTGCCCTGGGAGAACGACCGTTGCTTTCTACTTCTGGTTTCTGCTCATACCCTCTTCTCTGAGTGTGTGGGACCTGCCAGCTGGAAGTCACCAATTTGCGTTCCTCACACCATATGGACCCTCACTGGTGACCCAAAGATGGCAGAAGAATGTTGCTAACTATGGCAGGAGTAGGAGGAAGGAGGATAAGAATGCCCTTTGTGCACCTGAACCTCCTGTTTCGAGCCTGGCCAGGTCTGCAGAGCACGTTGACTCGATTGTCGTCCGGGTCTCCTGGAGGCCCTCAGTTGTCATTCTCTGGTGTCCCAGCAGCCCAGGTCTGCTCCTCTGTCCCTGTGCTGACTTGCACAACTACTTGGCAACCCTGTCAACTGCCGCCTCTTTCCACTTGGTGTGTTTTGTTGTTTGTTTTTCGTTTTTGCCGTAGGGTGCATGGGCTCACCAGAGAGAGACAGAGAAGAGGAAAAGTGAGAAATCATCTCCCTGGGTGAGAAGTCATCTCCCATGCCACAATCCCTTCTCCTCCATCTTCCTCTTAGGATTTTGGGCATGCACGCACATGTACCCAATGTGATTTTCAAGTCTCCAGGTCCAGGACTCAAACCATGGTTGGCCATGTGGAAATCCAGTGCTTTAACCACTATGCCACCTACTGGCCCACCCCTTGGTGTGTTTTTAAATTCTTCTGGAATTTTACTGGTGTTTTGTGAGCTATCAAGTACACACAAGCCAGAAGCCTAAAATTAAAAAAAAAAAAAAAAAAAACCTCCTTAATTAATCTTTTTCATGTTGGTTTAGAGATATTTTTTTTTCTGGTAGTACATTAATAATCTATTTAGATCAATTTCTTGTGAAATGATATATTTTTATTTTAATGATCATTTTAGTAACTTTAGTAGAAGAGGTAAAAAGCTAGTACACAAAGTTAATTTTCTTTTTAAAATTAATTTACTTATACACACAGTAATGGCAAAATCAAGCTCGTTAACATGCAGTATCTCACATGCTTGCTTGTGGTGAGAACACTTAACATCTACTCTCAGCAGTTCATGTGTCCAATACTCACTGTAGGTACCATTTATACAGTTAACTACTTCACTCCTGCCTAACTGAAATTTTGTACCCTTTGCCCAACATTCTCCCAATTCCTCCTCCCCATCAGCCCCTGGTAACTACCATTCTCCTCTCTACTTCTGAGTTCAATATTTTTAGATCCCACATATTAAGTAATACCAATGTGGTATTTGTCATTCTGAGCCGGGTTTATTTCACTTAACATAATATCTTCCTTTCAGTTCATCTAGTTGTCATAAATGATAAGATTTCCTTCTTTTTAACGGCTGTATAGTATTCTATTACGCATATATACCACATTTTCAGAAATTACTGCTTTTTTCATATTTCATTCACATAGAATACATTTTCGGATATTCTTAGACATATTATCTTTTTCTAACCCATGTATCTGTTGGGCATTATTTTCATGCTTGTGCAAAGGCTAAAATAGTAAATGGTAGCTATTTAAATTTATAACATGCATCAATTAATTTATTTTTAGATACTTCCTACAAGTAGAAGCAGCCAGATGATCACCTTTACCTTTGCTAACGGGGGTGTGGCCACCATGCGGACCAGTGGGACAGAGCCCAAAATCAAGTATTATGCAGAACTGTGTGCCCCCCCTGGAAACAGGTATGGCGTGGGTTGCAGCTGGTGCAATTTGTGTTCCCTGGACTTCCTAGTCGGGTCCATTCAAATGCTAAGTAAAATGCTTCATCTTTCCAATGTGTAGTTGAATTAGAAATGCTGTCTCAAAGTCTGTAGCAACCTTGGGGTCATCTTAGTCCCTTATTGTGTCTCTAGTAGAAATAACTGAACCTAGGTGATGGATTAAGAAATAGATGTTGGGACCAGCAGGTGGCATGGAGGTTAAGGGACTGTATTCCCATATGATCAACCACAGTTCGAGTCCTGGACCCAGCAGCTTGGAAATCGCACCGGGCATGTGTGTGAGTGCCCAAAATCCTATATGAATGGAGAAGGGATCATGGTGTGGCCATCTCCTCTGGGGGATGATTTCTCACTCTCTCTCTGGCAAGCACACACATCCTGTGGCAAAAACCTAAAAAGAAAAAGAAGAGAAAAAGAAGTTTATTCAGCTCATGGTTTGGAAGTCTAAAATCTGGGGCCAACTTCTCCGCAGTAACATGGTAGCAGGCAGGGTCTAGAGCAGGGTGGCGGTCCAGGAGTTTCTCTATTTCTCTCCATAAAAGCTTTGCTGACTTCATTTTCTTTCCTTATACACACCAGACAATAATAATAATAATAATAATAATAATAATAATAGTATCACATCAAAAGGCCCCATCCTGGGACACCATGGGAACACTGTTTTCACTAAACACCTTATGGTACAACCAATTCCCAGCCTGTGAACTCTGGGCACCATCCAGCTAAGACCACCCACTGAGACCAAATTGCAAAATAGGAACAAACCATTATCCATTCTATACCAGCTGCCTGAGCATCCAAGGATAAGAGTGCTCACTCCTGGGCTGGCAGGTGGTTCGGTGGTTAAGGCACTGGATTTCCGCATGGCCAACTGCAGTTCAAGTCCCAGACCTGGCAGCTTGCTTTCTCACTTTCCCTCTCTCTCTGTCTCTCTCTGGTCAAATGAAAAAATAATAATGATGAATAAAATTAACTCAAATAATTCTTTAAAACAATTTATAAAAAAGGGTGCTTAGGCCAGCAAGTGGCATTGTGGTTAAGGGTGCTGGACTCCCACATGGCTGATTGCAGTTTGAGTCCTGGCCCTGGCAGTGTGCTCTTGCTCGCTCTCTCTCGCTGTCTCTCTCTCTCTCAGGTCAAATTAAAATAAAATAAATAAATAAATAAATAAATAAATAAATAAA